ACGCCCGCCGCCCTCCCGCGGCCCCGGCCTCCCCCCCCGGCCGCGCGGGGAGGGCGGGGGACGACGGCCTAGCTGCTGGGGGTGAGGAGCGCCCGCGCGGGAAGGCGGGCTCTGGGGGGAAGGTCACTTACCCGCTGCATGGCTTTCAGGATCAAAGCCAGCTCGTAGCGGGGCATGCCCGGTCGCACCGCGCGCGGCTCCGGACCGAGCCGGCTCCCGGGACGCAGGAGGGGCGGGGACCGCGAGGGCCTGACGGAGTGCTGGGCCGGAAGGCTCCTGGTCGGCGAAAGCACGCTCCGGCCGAGCGAGCCCGGGCTTTAAGGCTCTGGCAGCTGCGCAGACGGCCCGCCACGCCCCCCTCGGCGCGCCCCGCCTCCCGCGCGCCCCGCCCCCCGCGCGCCCCGCCCCGCTCCCTCTTAAGGCGGCCGCACCGCGCCCCCTCGACAGTCTCTTTCCCCCAGGCGCGCCACCCCCGCCAGGACCCCTGGCCCCGCAGCCGCTGCGAGGGGGTGGCGCCGCGGGCTCGGCCAGGAGGGGCCAGCGCGGGCCGCACTCCGCCTCTGACCCTGCCGCCGCCGCTCCCGCTACCTACGGCTCTCGAACCAGCTGGAACTTTCCATGCCTCCGTCTCATTCTGGGCGGCGGGCGAGCGTGCGCCCTCGTGTGCGCGTGCGCTAAACAGTGCGGTCTTGTCCGTGCGCGCGCCCCTCGCCCGCGACTTGTCGGCGCGGGGGGCCTTCTAAGGCGGCCACGCTTTTCCGGGTGGGGTCGCGGCCGGACCTGGGCTTTCCCCGCCCATGGTTGCGCAGGGGAGTTCCAGAACGTTCCGGCTGAGGACCGCGCTTCCGCGCGCAGGGCTTCCCCGGGGCACCCTGCCCCTCGCGCCCCCTCCCCACAGCCGTCCTCGCGCGGCTGCAGGCGCGGATTCCCGGGGCCCCTTCCCCGGTGAGGTGGGCGCAAGGCGCAGGCTGTGGGCCGCCGCGCGCGTGGTCGGGTCTGGCCCCATCCCTCGCCGGCTGCCTGACCTTGGCAGGCTCCTGAAGAAAGGGGATGTGAAGGGCACCTACTTCCCAGGGCCGAGATGCCTTTGAGTGAGCTGATGCACGTAAACCTGAGAACGATGCCTGCACACAAGCGCGACACAGGCATCTGTTGTGTGAGCCCGGCCTGTCCCACGTGTAGTTGCCAAGGGCAGGCTAATACTTTGGCTCAAATCGATATTCTTTAAATGTTTGCTCAGCGTTCATTTAGAGGACCAGCTGAGAACTTGGAAAGCCGTTTAGTAACCGTCTGGGAGCATGAGCGTGGCCTGAAAGGGAGGAGAGTCCCGTGGTACATTCCCTTTACCCCCCAAACAGGCACACAGGGATCACCTTTCCCTCCAGCCATGGGCTGTACTGTTCCTGGCAGGCGTTGTACAAAATGCATTTTCTCCAGCTCCACTCCTTAGGGACTGAGCCCCTGCAATTGTCGCCCCTGCATACGATGCTTGCCCCGTTAAAAGGACCTGTAGGTGAAATGTTTGTCCTTTAAAGTGCTTTAACGCTAATAGGTAAAATTTACTGAGCACTTACTGTGTATCAGGCCCCACGCTAAGGCTTTTATATGCCTCTCCTAAAATTCTTACTTTGTGAGGCAAGTACTATTATTAACCCCCGCTTTAGGGATTCAAAAATACAGGCACGCAAAGGTTATGTAACCAGGCCCCGGTCAAACAGTAATAGAGATAAAATTTGGATCCAGACTATAAGAAGGCTGAACCCATACTTAGTCCAGCTTCTGGTTCTCTCCCACACGCAGATTAAAGTGCCAATAATATTATTCAGTAGATTTGCCATGTATCCCATGTAAACCAAGAATAGAGTCCCTTTGTCACCTTATCCGGAGACCTTGGTATTTCTCGGATCTTACCTCCCATCCCCCATCAAAGATAAAGATGATTTTTGAACACATCTATTCTGTGATATTTGGGTTTTAACATTTTCTATTCTTGGACTTCTCCACAACCCCTATTCTTTCAAAGAAAAGCTACCCAGGTATTGATACAAATTACCTGGTTAGTGTTGACTCATTTCACTTTTGGTTAAAAAAAAAAAAAAGTAGAATATTATAAATAAATAACAGAAGAAAGCAAAGATTTTATGAACCTTAAGTGAGTTACAGGTTTTCCAGGATGGTTCCCTACTTCAACAGTCCCTCCTGTTATCAACCACATGTCCCAGTTTGGGAATGAGAAAATATGAACTCCAAAGTAATATGCCAAGCCAAAGGCCAGGGCAACACCACCAGTTGACTTTAACTTTTAGCATTTCCTCTTGGAAGCTCCATAATTTTTCCCTAATGGCCAGGGATGAGTGAAGGGTCTAGCTTGTTGACAATTAGTATGAGGAAATTAGTCTGATTGCATAATGCCTCAACAAAGCACCCCCAACCCTCCCAATCTGGTGGCTGCCCAGGGGGCTCACTCCATTTCTTCTGAAAGGGAGAGAAAGGGCAGCTACCCTGATTTTCCCCCTTCAACTTTTTTTTTTTAAGTACAGCACCAGGATGCTCATGGGTTCACTAACAGATGATAAAATCACAAGAAATGCTGATGCAAATTTAGTGTCCTTCTATTATAACTACAAATTTAAGTTCACCAGAAAGATATTTTGAATTTTATACTGTGTATATAAGTCAGCATTTAGAATTATAAAATATTACTGTAATATTTTATATTAATTTTAATACACTAAAAACTATAATCACTGATGAAAGAAATTAAAGCAGTCATGGATGAAAAGATATCCGTGTTTGTGGATTAGAAGAAGCAATGTTAAAATGCCCAGACTACCCAAAATGACTTACAGATTCAATGCAATCCCTATCAAAATCCCAATGTCAATTTTTAGAGAAATAGAAAAAAAATCTTAAAATTCATATGAAACCACAAAAGAATAATGAAAGCAATTTTCCCACAAGAAGAATGAAGCAGGAGGCAATATACATTCTGATTTCGAACTGTATCACAAAGCTATAGCAATTAAAACAGTAGGGTACTGGCATAAAAAACAGACATATAAACTAGTGGAACAGGATAGGGAATGCAGAAATAAACACACATAAATGGCCAACCAATGATCAACTGATCTTTGACAGGGCCTAAGAATACACAATGGGAAAAAGGCAGTCATTTCAATATATGGTGTTGGAAAAACTGGTCATTCACATGCAAAAGAATGAAATCATACCCTTTTCTTACACCAAAATCAACTCAGAATTGGGTGGCTCAGTTGGTTAAGGGTCTGACTCTCGATCTCAGCTCAGGTCATGATCTCAAGGTTGCAATATCGAGCCCTGCTCCAGGCTCCATCCTCAGCAGGGAGGCTGCTTGAGATTCTCTCTTTCCCTCTCCCTCTGCCCCTCCTCCTGCTCCTGCACTCTCTAAAATAAATCTTCTTTAAAAAATCAACTCAAACTAGAGATTTAAACATAAAACCTGAAACCATAAAATTCCTTGAATAAAACACAGGGAAAAAACGTCTTGATGTTGGCCTTGGTAATGATTTCTTGGCTATAACACTAAGAGCACAGGTGACAAATGCAAAAATAGACAAATGGGATTGCGTCAAACTGAAAAGCTTCTGCACAGCAAAGGAAATAATTGACAAAATGAAAAGGCAATCTACAGAATGGGAGAAAGTATTTACAAACTATATGTCTGATAAGGGGTTAATATACAAAATATATAAAGGAACTCATACAATTTGATTAAAAAATAGTAACAAACACAAATAATTACCTGATTTAAACAAAAGCAAAGAAAATAGACTTTTCTACAAAGAGGGCATATAGAGGACCACCAGGTACACGAAAAGGTGCTCAATATCACTAATCATCTGGGAAATGCAAGTCAAAACTACAATGAGGGGGCACCTGGGTGGCTCAGTTGGTTAAGTGTCTGTCTTCAGCTCAGGTCATGACCTCAGGGTCCTGGGATTGAGCCCCACATCGGGCTCCCTGCTCAGCAGGGAGTCTGCTTCTCCCTCTCCCTTTATCCCTCCCCCTTGCTCATGCTCTCTCTTTCTCAAATAAATAAATACAATCTTTAAAAAAATTTAAAACTACAATGAGATATCACCTCATACCTGTTAGAATGGTGTCAACAGTTAGCAAGTGTTGGCAAGAATGTGGAAAAAAGAAAACCCTTGTCACTGTTGGTGGGGATATAAGTTGGTGCAGCCTCTGTGGAAAACAGTATGGAAACTCCTCAAGAAGTTAAAAATAGAACTACCATATGATCCAGCAATCACTCTTATGGTTATATATCTAAAGGAATGGAAATCAGATCTTGTAGAGCTATCTGCACTTCCTTATTCATTGCAGCATTATTCACAATATAAATGTCCCTGCGCAGATAAAGAAAGTGTGATGCATTGAAATACTAGTCAGACTTTAAAAAGAAGGAAATCTTACCATTTGAGATAACATGGGTGAAACTGGAGGACAAATACTACATATCACTTACATGAGACATCTGAAATATTCAAACTCATAGAAGCAGAGAGTAGAATGGTGGTTGGCAGGATCTGGGAGAAGGGGTCCATGAGGTTGTATTAGTGAACAAGTCCAAAACTTTGGTTGTACAAGAAAAAAGAATATGCTGTAACCTAGAGTCTCCAAAACATTTAATGTGGTATATATTGGAAGATTTGATGAACCGGAAATCTTGACTCATTTTCAAGTAAGGTTTTATGAGAGGCAATAAAAAAGAAAAAATAAGTTGAAATCCAGTCCTATTTCAAAAAGTAACATCAGTGTATGCCCTGGAGCAGCTTAATCATTTTTACCTTCTTATTTTATATTACTGTATAATAAGGCTTTACATTGAGCTCACAGTAGGTCATTAATTCTCAAAGATATGTCACAAACAGGCCTTGTGCATCTAAAGACAACTCTCAAAAGAGTGAAGAAATGGGAATGTTTTCAATGAATGGAGAAAGTAATCCCACAGTCGAACCAAGTCATATTTTCAGCTGTCAATCATCACTCTCCTCAGCCTATCATCTTTCCCCTGAGGAAAGTACATTGCTATTTCTTGGCTTGACTGCTCAGCCCATGGCCCAGACCCAAGTCACAACATTTCAAATTCACTCTGTTTTTAAATGTTTTACCAGTGAACTCGCTGGTATTTCTAAACCCCCTTGCACACACTGTCACCTACCCTTTTATAGACTCACTGGGTCATCTCAAAGTGCTGTTGGCTGTGTGCCTTGCAGAATGAAACACT